TGCCAAGGGATAGGCGAAGGAGCTCATTGGTGCGAATCGACTGGCTCCCGACCTTGTCAGGACGGAAGGTGCTCAATCAAGCAGAAGAGGATCTGGCGACTTTTCAGCCTGGTCCCCCTCTTCACCTGAGCCTCTTCAGTTAGCCTGCTGATTTTGGCAACAATGGGTTTCGAGGTAATGCACTTCCTCACCGCAGCATTGAACCTATTATCAAGGATCGGATAGAGGCATTCTTCATCGAGCTCCTCGAAAGTGCTGGCGTTCTCAACGCTCATGACCCAAGACATGGCATACGGCGAGTCGTAGCTGAATGCGTTGCTCACGATTTCCCGAGTGGAGATGATCCAGTCTCGTAGTTCGTGTGGCGCAGGCTCTTTTTCGAGCTCTATGTTGGCGCATTTGTTCGCCTCAGACGGCAACGAAGACAAAGGCGGTCGAGTAGCCTGCCCAAAAACATGGGGAGGTAGAATGTCATCTCTGCCAATGAATATGGCACAAAGAGAACAGCTCCCTGATGAAGGCGGGCAGCATGCGGCACACAAAGATGTGCGGCGTAGCGAGCAAGTCTGAAAGCATGGAGGTGTTCCGGGGACGTTGGACTTGGCATTGATGTTGCAGCGGGGACATACTCTTTCTTCAGCAGAGGATCGGCGAAGATCGGGATCCCCAATACCGCCGCCACCACTGATGCCGTGCATACTTTTACCGAGTCCAGGTGGAAGAGAGAAACCAGTTGATCCACCAGAGTTATCCTGTATCCCGTGAGTAGGCTGTAGAGTTTGCTGATTTGTCACAGCAGCGTCAGATCCATTGCCCTTGGTGGCATCGGTCCCGCAGCTCCGGTGTGGGAGCGAGAGCCAGAGTTCCCTTGCTGTGGTTCAGGGCTCCGATGCCATGGGCCTCCACGCGATGGTCCAGACCCAGGATCAGGAGCAGCGCCACCTTGTCGATCACGGTCGGGAGCGAAACCAGGCTATCCGGGCTCTACACTGGGGCCACGATGCTTGGTTTTACCATCAGGGTCGGCTCTCAGGCATCCGAGGCAAATTGGTCGAACAGTCGACCCAAACCGGCGCACTTCGTTAGGTGATGCGATGCGCTGATCGCAGTAGACCTCCTTGCATATGAGACATGTCTGAAGACCGCGCCTTCCCCCTCTCCCTCTGCATGTGCGGCAGCGGGGAAACTGATCACTACACTTGAAACTTGAGTTGCAATCATGATCAAAACAGTCTTCACAGGCAGATTTGCCGCAGCTTCGGCATGGATAGCGAGGTTCCCGATGCTGTGGATGCCCAGGCTCCTCATGAGCACATCTGGCCCGGTTGTCAGGGGCAGCGCCAGCAGCTCGAGTGGCGGCCCTCGTTCTAGAGGGGTCCTGCCAAAAACGGGCGCAGACGGTGATGATGGAGGTGGCCCAGACGGAGGAGGCGGGGGAGGAGGTCTCGCAGAGTCGGTGACGCGAGCAGCGCGAGGAGGAGAACCTCTATGAACTCGCCCCTGGACTATTGAACCTGTATCCCCAGATTTCTCCCAGGATCCCGCTCCGGCGCCCGATGCAGCGCCACCACTTGGGGAAGCATGGGCGGCAGGACAAGTTTCATAAATTGCGCCTGCATGTCTTTTGGATTGGGGCCCTGACTTCTGTTGAGGGCTCCAGACATCCTGTTACTGAATTGTCTCAGATCAGTGGCAGGGACAAGGTGCTGAATGTACGTTTCATTTCCGCGAATGGTTCTTTCCCTTGAGATGGTCCCCTCCATATCAATGACACTGCGGGAGTTCGCCTCGACCTCATCATTGATCCTTCGAATCTCAGCCTCAAGGGCCCCGATTTCGGAGAACCTAAGGAGCTGAACCTTGATGTTCTCCAGTGACTCGGCCTGCTCGCGGAGTCCAGCGGCAGATACGATGACAGAGTTGGATCTCTCATCATACATCTTGAAGCGCTCATTCATCTCCTTCTCGCTTCGAGCGATCCACTCGTGGATTTCACGGAACTTGGCCTCGTGTCTCGAGAACGTTCCGGCGACGGCAGAAAAGGATGACTCAACCTTTTTCTCGAAGGTGTCAATGCGGTTGTTGATCTTCTTGATCTCACCAACGCATGCGCTGATATCATCCCTACATGAACGAATCTCAGTTCTGCACCCCTGGATTTCAGCCTTGCACCCCTTGATCTCGTTGTGAATCGCGAGAAGGAGTCGCTGAAGCTCAGAGGCGACAGGATGGCCCGCATTTGCGGAAGCGCTAGGGGCAGGACGGCTGTTAGCGTCACTAGCTCCCCGTCCTCATTCCTGTTAGGAGTGCAACTCGGAGTTCCGATTTGAAAGAAGGTGGGGACGATGGAGTTGTCAGTCGGTGGATTCGATGGGAGCCCTCCATTCCCAGGGACGGCGGTATCAGACCGCTGTCTCCGGTTCCTGGGCGTGGCAATGATCCCGTCATCAGTGTCCTTCTCAGACATCGGTGCGTTGGAGCTAAGCCCAGATCCTGCAGAGCGGATAGGAACGTCAATGGGATCGTGATGAGCAGGAAAAATGGGTCGCAATCGAAGGGCAGCTTCGCGCCTCTGAGGTGACTCGGAGCTCCTTTTTGTGGCTCGCGAGTCAGTGCCGGTTTGCCCCGACGAAAAATCCAGAGATGATGATCCACGCAGTTGAGCTCGATCGTGATCAAGCCGTTGAGCAACATCGTCAATGAAGGGCTTTGGCGAAAGCACGGTGGGAGCGACGTTGTGCGCCTCTCAGGCGTGATCTCAGCCTCGTCGATAACATCGAGGATTCCAGGGATGGTCTCATCATCCTCATTTCCTCTCCTGGGTGGCTGATGAAAGGGAATGTCGAGAAGATCAAAGGGAGTAGATCCAATATCAGTTGAATCCTGCTCGGATCCACCACTGGCATGATGGCTGGACTGCTCTTCGAGGTCGATCACATCAGGGGCGGACTCTTTTCGAGTCTGACGCCGATTGAAGGCCGCGAAGAGACCGGCATGGTTTCTCGATGAAGTAGAGGACGGATTTGGGCCTGCTATTTGGCCCTCCGATCGATGAGTACCTGAGGTTGGGCTTGGTGGATTTGAGCCTGCGTTGTAGCGGCTCGCATCCCGATCTTGAGTACCTGAGGATGGTAGTGGATTTGGACCAGCGTTGTAGCGGTCCGCGCCCCGATCTCGGGTACCTGAGTTAATGTGGTGGATTTGGACCCGCGTTGTAGCGGTCCGCATCCCGATCACGGGTACCTGACAAGTAAGATGATACCGCATCGGGAATGAAGTCCATATCCGCCGGACTGGGGTGATCATGAATGACATCAACATCAGATGAACCTGAAAGGGCGTCAAAAGGCCTGTTGATTCGGGAAGGTCGGAATGGCTGAGATCTCCAATCAGCATCAAAAAGGGATTGAATATCAACATTCCCAACCGAAGTCGGTTGGTGTAGCTTGCGGGCCACTTCCGAGAAGCTGGTCAAACTGATCCCATGTAAAGGACCAAGATTGAGCCGTCTCAGGATGTACGGCAGGGTGAGCAACCTGGTCCTCGATCTGGAAGGCCACAAACGGAACAGTAGGCGAAATCGACGGGAGTCCCTGATTTGGAGGAACCACAACCTCTTCTAGAGGGGGTCGTCCTTGATCTGGAGCACTGCCGCCGGGATAGGGGCCTCCGCTTCCTCATCAAAAACGACCTGAGACAAGATCGAGTCGTCCGTGATCACCCCGGGATTGGGCTCTGCGCCCATCACCGGGGGAATGTGGCCACAACCGGCTGTCTAAGCCGGGGTTGGCGCGCGCGGCACTGCCGCGTAGGCGAGGGGGAGCACGTAGCGGGTCACGTCCCGCAACCGGGCCACCAGCCCCAGCTTCTAGCTGTTACGGCTGATAACCTGCGGTTTTGGGGAATCAAAGAGGTACACGTGGTCCACAAAGTACCAAAAGAACCCAGTCCCAACGCACAATGGAGAAGGTGCTGATGACCAGGTTGTGGGAGTGACAGTTGAAGAAGATCAAGTTTGGGAGGGTTGGAAAACAGGCTACAACAGAAAGTGAAGTTCAGAACCAGGCCCAGGAAGTCCTCGACGACCAGCCACCCACCACCTAACACCGGCCGCGGCAACACCAGGACCTTTTCCCGATGGTGACGCAGGCCGCCGTGCTATGGCGGATGCACGCAAATCCGAGAGACCCCTGACGGGAGGTTTAAACTTGAGCCAAACGGCCATTCGGCCGGTTTGCTTTATGAAGAAACAACACGTGAACAAAACACATAAATAATATACGCGCTCGCCGCTGTTTTGCTAGGAAAACACATGCTTGGAAGATGTGCGGTTCCGAGGAAAGCTTGTCTTTTCTGGATGTTCGAAGCAACCTCATCTAAAGCATCTTCTGTGGCTAAGGTCCAGCAAACAAGGGAGGCCGGCCTTGCGTGCGTCTCCGTGCGTCGTTTGCCTGAGTGTGTGTGCGTGTGTGTCCACCTGTGTCCCGTCTGGTCCGTCTGCGTGCGCTTGTGGCTGCTTGTGATTTGCGCGCGCGGCGGCTTGCGCAAAGGAAGGATGTGCGGGTTCAAAGCATGTGTTTGCTCGTGATGCTTGTGCATGTGTGACACGCACGCATCGCACTTGCCCCTTCCATCGCAGGCTCATGTTGGCGTTGCGCGCCACTCTACGCCAGCAGTATCAGCTGCGCAAGTGCCTTTCAAAAGCGAAGCGGTTGCAAACCAGACTCATCGTGCACCTTTCAGCCTTGCGTTGAAGCTGCGAGAGCAAAACAACTGCTGAGGCTGCATAAGCGCAAAGTCAACGCAGCAGCGAAACTGTTTGCCGGGTAATGGGGTGGGCATTGCTCGGGCCGAACAGCCGCAGCGGCTATTGAGTTCCGCCAAACCTGTCAAGCGACGGCGAGTTCACGGCACAAATGTCTGTTCAGCGGAAGCTTGGCGCTTCAGCGTCTTGGCCGCGACAGGCCCATGTTTGATTCCCGTCAGCTCCGTGGAGAGTCCTTGTCAGGCTTGTGGTGGAAGGTCTTGCAGCCACGGACATCCACAAACAGAATCCCAACGTCACCGAAGGCGTGCCTTGGCAAAGGTCAACACGTTGATCAACAATCATTCAAAGCAAGAAAGGAGCAGGACTCGGATCTGATGAAACTCCCTTTCAAAACACACTAGGCAGGTCAAAACCATACAGAGACGCGTTTATGAATGAGTTGATGCCAATTGCCTTTAATGTTGTAGGGCGTTCCATTGACCATTGCATGAGCTGTGGACTGTGAGCATGTTGTCAGGCTAGTGACAAAAAGTTCTGGACGGCGCCAGTTGTGTGCGAAGGCATAGAACAGAACAAATGCCGCGCAGCTGCGCGTGTCTTTTCTGTCTGCGATTGACTCTTGGGTACGAGCTGCATGTGAAAATCGTATTCCGGGTTCACATTGTCGTCATGCAGGACGCGCTGGTAGGAGTTTGTGATTCTGTAGGCAATGTTGCCCAAGAACCTGCTGGGCATGGAACTACACACACCAAGTACTCACTGCGCAGCTGGCTCTCGGAAATGCGAAATGTGGCACGCGTTGTCGAAGTGGCAATGGTTTGGTAACGTTGCGCAAAAATGCACAACTAGACGAACAGCGAGGTTGCCTGGCTGATATTATACGGCTGCTATTTGTGAGGGTGGCCGTTTTGTTGGGTGCTTTAACGCGAAACAGTGCGCGAAACACCTGCTTCGTGGGTCCGCTTCCTTGAGACAGACCCATATCATAGGTGTGCGCCAACTATAACTGTGGTCAAAATGACAGTGGATTGGTGTGAACACATTGGGCAAGGGCGTGGAAGGGCTGTGGTGCACTTCGACACAGGTTGTAGAAAAAGGGGCTTGATATGCAACACAAACGTGTGGTCTCACATGCTTCATGACGACTCTGGGCCAAGCCTGCGCACTGCATGACTAGTTCCTTATACAAGTTTCAGCCTTACCAAGTCAGTTCTTGCTTTTGGGGCGCACCCTTGCTGCGAGCTGTCTTCGGGCCTTCACATCTACTAGCAGGCTGCCGGCTTGATTCCTCGCTTTTTTCGCAGTTTGCCAGGTGTCCACATGCTGGGCTTGCAAAAGGTCGCTTGCGCTGCTCCACAGCCTGTCTAAGGAGCTGTGATCCTTGTCCTCCGGCCGATCTCCCCAATCGTCGCCTTGGCTCAAGAATCCAAGCATGTGCGCCGAAGAGTTCCCTTCTTCTACTCGGCAGCCTATCGACCCAGCACTCGCGCTAGCAGAATGCGACGTTTACAGGACGCAGTTGCCAAAGCAGACTTCTCGCACGGCGCTCGTGCTGACAGAATCCGATGTTCGCAGTCATGTGTGGCGCCCGTGCTAACAGAATGCGCTGTTTACAGGGTGAAGCTGCCAAAGTGGACTGCATGTACGGCGCTCGCGCTGACAGAACGGCGATGTTTACAGGATGGACCTGCCAAAGTGGACTGAATGCACGGCGCTCGCGCGAACAGAATACGACGTTTACAAGGACTTCATGCGCGGCGCTCGTGCTAACTGGGCTTGGTACATTGTTCCAGTAGACTTCATGTAGGGCGCTCGTGCAACCAGAACGTGATGGTTACAGGCTGGAGCTGCCACTGCTCGGCTCTCGCGCTAGCAAAAACGCGATGTTCACAGGATGGAGCTGCTAGAGTGGACTTCATGTACACGCGCTGCACACTTTTTTTTGCACACACGGCATCTCAAGCGCAGCCAGGCCAACAAATCACGGATGCTCTCGCCAAACCGCGGCTGATTTCTCGCCACATCGCGGCTACCCCCCGCCAAAGCGCATCATTTTCAACACGAGGCATTCGACGGCGTCGCTTGTAGAGACGACACTCAACGGACGCCGTTGGATGCTCTATGTAACAAACTACGATGTTTCCAGGATGGAGCTGCCAAAGTGGACTTCATGCACGTCGCTCGCGCTAACCGAATGCGACATTGACAGGATGGAGCTGCCAAAGTGGGCTTCATGCGCTGCGCTCGCGCTAACAGAACGCGATGTTTAGCAGTGCGCGATGTTTGGGTCTGCCTGCCAAGGTAACGTGAACTAGAGCACATGTGTTGACAAGGTGTGATACACAAACTGAAGCTGCCGAAGTGTACTTCATGTACTGACACGAGGATTAACAAGCTGAAGACTCTCTGCTCTAAGAAGCTGCAAGAGCTGCCGCCGAACAAACCCTCAGCAACAGAAACTATCACAACAAGTCATATGTTCGCCAGTAACACAAGGAAATCATAGCAACAACATTTTTACTAGGCTTCTCAAGAATTAACTCTGCAGGGGCGGATCTCGTGATCGTCATAGATCATCAGGTTCGGCACGTGCGCCAGGACCCACCTTGTAGGCTCATGACCTCAGTCTCAGACACAAGCAGAATTGCAGAGGCAGGGGGCGCGAGAATGTCTGCTGATTGAATTTGCGGGCGCTTTTCGCAAACTCAAACGCACACGCACTCACACACTCATACACCTGCCCACGTTTGTACTAAGCACTACTCAAGAGAAGTATGCGTCTAAACACAAACCAAAGACATTACTCTCAAAGCAATGTTCTGGAAGGCCTGCAGATTGCCGATGCCACTCGGAGGCTCAGAGCTTCTAAGACTCGCTTCTAAGACAAACCGGTGGCTGTCAGACTTCTGGCTGTGAAAAGGGGTGGAACTTGACCGCAGCGACTGCCTGCCTTCGCGTCAGCTGTTGTCTTGCTTGCTCTGGTCGTGCAACACCGAGCATGGACAAACGCCCGAAAACGAGTGAGGCGCTCCGATGACATGAAAGTCTGAACTTGCATAAACAAGCGGCTTGTCTGCGTATACCCGGCAGCAGCATCTCGATTCTTAGCCTCTGCCCCGAAATTCCACTCTTGGGCTTGGACCCCAGGTCTCGCGATAGACATCTTGGAAATGATCCTGCAAAGGCAGGGCGTGCTGATCTACAGCGCAAGCGCCGTGTAAGAACATTGCTGTGCAAAAAATAGAGGGGCTAAGACTGCCAAATCAAGCGGGTTGCAACTGCATTTGCTGCTAAGCAATGAGCCCCCTGAATTCTTCGTCCAATCTCTTAGAGAACTTGTGCGATAAAACAAATGGACGCAGCCAAAAAAGAAACAATTACACGAGCTTAGCGTAAACTGCGCCCTTGACCTCGGACCCCGAGGCGGGCCTCAGGCTCGACCTCGGGGCTGAGGTGGACCCCGGGCCCCCAACCCAAGGTGGCAATCATCGACAAGCTCCTTATCATACAATGGAGCTGTTCGGCAGTCATCGATCAACTGAGTGCCTCCTCAGTGCTACTGATGGGTGCAGGCCTCCATGAAGCCTTCTTGTCTGAAAAACCTGCTCCGCACAATTGAGCCTGGTCAGGGGATCTATCTCAATCCTGCTGTGGTAGGACACCCAAATCGCCCGTGGATCTATTTCACGCAAGACCTAGTGTGTCTCAGACGGATTGGTGAGACTATGGATGTCCCTAGTTATTAGAATGATCTCTCTTCACATCTAGCTAACTATCCACCGGAGAGCGAAAAGCAGATGTAACCGAGGCCAGGCATGAGCCAACTTGCCAAGCCAAACAATGATATCATGATGAAACATGGAGTTACTTTTGTCACTTATTGCACTTATTTTGGAGTTAAGCTCACTTTGGATAAGTTATGAAAAAATATTGCAATTATCTGGGGGTTGGGCCAGGATACTTGCAACAATGACATCAGTTGCAAAAATACTTCAATTTTTTAAAAGTAATGCAATTATTTGGGGCTTGGGCCAAGCTGGAATGAATTTATGTTGCAATTATTGGAATTGTGAAAAAATATTGTACTAATTGTAGTTATTGTAATTATACTTACAACAATTACAAAAATCTGGGCTTTTTTGAAAAACAAATGTCATTATTGTAATTGCAATTCTTGCAATTGTAATTTTTGCAATTATTGTAATTATTGTAAGTGTAGTTACAATAACTACAATAATAACAAAAAGAAAGCTCCAACTTTTGTACTTATTGTACTTATTGTAATTATTTGGGGCTTGGGCCGAGCTGGAATGAATTAGTTTTGTAATGGTTGCAATTATTCTAATTATTGGAAATAGAATTACAATAATCACAATAATCACTGACAATAATGAAAAAAGCTCCAATTTTTGTAATTATTGTAATTATAACAACAATAATTGGAATAGTTAAAAATAAGCCCCGATGTTTTTAATTATTGTAATTATAATTGCAGTAATTATGATCTTTACAATAGTTACACAAAAAGGCTCCGATTTTTGTATGTATTGTCATTATTTGGGGCTTGGGCCAAGCTGGAATGAATTAACTTTGCACTTACTGTAATTATTGCAAGTATTGTAATTATTGTAACTATAATTACAAAAACTTACAATAATTACAATAATTGGAGCCTTTTTTGTAATTATTGTGATTATAATGGCACTAATTACAATAATTGCAATAATTACAATAACTACAATAATTACGAAATTAATTCATTCCAGCCCGGCCCAGGCACGAAATAATTACAATAATTTCAAAAATGCTCAGATTTTTGTAATTGTTGTATTTGTTATAAATGAAAATAATTTCCACATTGGGAAGCAGCTGGAAGACACGAAAAGAGGTGCGTTCAAATAGGACCTAATATTCCCTCTTACGGGGGGGGGGGGAGAGCGCATGTTAGGGCAGGCGTGCAAACAAAGTTCACTTGCTTAAGCACAAGAACTTGTCTGGCAAAGCAGTGCCAATTTATTTTGCAATCTCAAGCAAAAACTGCAAAACAAGATCCAAGCGACTTGGAATAGCAACCCTGCGCATTTGCACGGCTCCAGTATTTTGAACGGCCGCTGGCAAGCTGCCAGGTTTTGAACGGCTGGCCGGGCCGAGAAAAAACGGACATTGGTGGTCAGCCGATTGTCTGCTTAGGGCAGGGTAATTGGGCAGGCCACCTACGCACTGCACCCTGCCCAGTTGCAGGTACCGCAAGCAAAGTGAATAATGCCAAATTGTTGAAGCTGCAAGGTTCAGGAACCTGCTGCGGCAAGTTCGTTGGTGCAATGAACAAACTGTTTGCTAGTCAGGACTCAGCCAACCAACCAAAATGAACACCTGGTCACACCTGATGAAATCTGATCACCTGAGCACTTCTGACCAAACCGTGGTTTAAAATCGATTTCATCAGGATTAACCAGAGTTGACCAGGTTTCATCAGATTTGATCAGGTTTGGGTTTTGCTTGCAGGACAGTGCATCAAAGAGATTCTTGCTGTAGCCTTGAATTCTGAATTCTGAAGATCAACCAACTCGAATTTTGAAAGTGTTGTAGAAGTGGCACCCCTCCGTTTGGGCGGGCGCCCTTTACAGCAAGGCTTGCGTAGTTTCAGCAAAAATGCAGTCAAACCAATAAGCTAGTTCATAATCAAGGGAAGGGTGGCTCAGTAACACCCGTGTTATTTAGGAGCGTGGGAAGAGGGAAAGCCGCAAAGACCGCAACATTTGGGAAAGGCGATGTGTGTTCGGAAGAAACGGCGGGTGGCAAGCGCCGCTGTAGCAACCCCCCGTTCCCGGCAACGCAAAGTTTTATATATGCTGCGCGCGCCGCTTGCATAAACAATAGAAAGTACATTTGCAAAACATCACGCCTTGAAGCGGTTGCGCATCTTGCAAAAGCTTGCAGCAAAAGCGCTGCCTGCGGAAGCATCCCTTGACCGGGAAAAGCAGGGCCTCAGGCCCCAATCAGTGATGTCATCATGGAAACATGTTTGCAACAAAAACATGCCTCACAACGACCTCAGATCTCGCAAGCCTTTTCTGTTCAAGTAAGCCATGGCCGGTTCAAAGGTAAAGAACGGCTGGTCGAGTAAGCGGTTGTAAGTAGTGTCTGGTTAGGCTGTCTTGGTCAGGACGTAAGGGTTCCCCCGACTGGCACCCCAAGCCAAGACCCGTGAGCCGGTCAAGCGGAAAGACAAGCGGCTTTCGCAAATGCAGGGCTATGAAGTGCACCTCCGCCCGGCTTCAGGCCCTCCTTCAAGATGTTGAAACATTTCGCTCGATCGTTCAAGGGAGGATAAATGTGCATGGCAATGCGTCCTGGTCGGGCACATTCTTTCTGACCGTGACAAGGTTCGAAACACCACAACATTAGCCCCGCGTCACGCCCCAGTGGTGATGAAGATCCGCGTGTAGACATCAATAATACCCTTCTGGTAGCGGTCAAGCTCGGTGTCGCGCCGGACGCTGGTGGGCACCCACTTCGACCCGTAGAATTCACGGACCGCCTCCGCCGGTGATGAGTTAGCCCTTGCCGCGTGCCTTGCCACCAGGACTCCCTGTTGAAGGCGGGCGGACATGGTGCCGGCGCGCTTCATGCTGCGGGGTAGTCTTGAAGGAGATGATGTCACATATCGCTTTGTTTGAAGCTGAATGCGGCAAGTAAACGCAGCATGAGGCATGCTCTGACCAAAATTGGATCCAAACTTGCAAAGCTCTTCCGACATCTTCTGCAAGGAAGGCCCGAGTACGTTTTTTCAAGTAGCGCACAATCCAATCAACCAAAAGGCCTTGTGTTTTATCAAGGTGCGGAAAGTTCGCGGCAGTGCTCAATAGTACCAGTTGTAGCGGTCTTCAACAGTTGACCTGGTTCGGACTGTGATTGGTAAGTGGATCGGCCAAACAATATTCCGAAGAAACGTGTCCAAGATCACGAAGGTTCCCTGTTTTGCTCCGGAAGAAGCGTTGCACCTGTGGTGGTAGCAAGTTTGTTTGCATCTGTGTGGACATGAACAGGGATCACCTCACCAGAAATGTCCGTCCATAAGCCTAGTGGGAATAAACCGTAGTTCACTGCGCGGTTGTCTTTGTTTTGTGGGATTCAAAGTCAACAGCCGAGGCTCGGACTGCATTCTTGGTTGGGTGCCGACCGCCAGTGCGGTGTAGGTTGTCAATCCTGGCGTTGTTCCTGTAAAAGGCCTCTGGAAAACCAAGAATCCGGGTTGACCACAAGCGTGCATCTGTGAATGTCTGCCTTAGCATGCGGACCAATTAGTTCAACCGCTTGGTGTCTCCAGTGGTAGGTGGTGCTGCGCAGGAAGCACATCTACTGAGCTTGTAAGCAACGTGAGCCTGGGCCCTGCTCTGTAGCCAGTCAGTTGACCAAGGATAGAACGATGCGCCGTGCTGCCCGAAAGGGTTTTGTCAAAAACACGGATTCAACTGCGAGTTGTTGATCAGCGCTGCTATAAGGACCATGTTTGCCATTCTTGCGCCGAACACGTTGACCAACGAACGTGATGTCATCCTTATCTTCACTGCCAACACTGGAATCTTGTCTCTCCTGACATGAACAGGCGTTGGTCCCAGCAATCGTCCAAAAGAACTCCACAGCTAGTCGTCTCAGACGCCACGAATGCGGGACCCTTGGGCTCGCCGTGAAGGACATAGGCGCGCCGGTCTGCCCGAGACCTCCGAAGCGCTGTGTCAACTACAACAATGCGGGGCGTCGTTGAGTCCGTGCGCCGGTTTCTTCATCCGTGCGGCCATGTGTAGTGGTCGCGACTTGTCATAAGCTTCACCCTGCAGAAACGCGGTCTTCAACATGATGAAGAGACCACCTACGTGAAGCAGCCAGTTGCGTTGGCACAGCGGAAACCAGAACATGGGTATCGGTTTGCTTGCGTCCGGTCTCCGGCGTTCACCGCCTGCTCCGAATGATCAAAGGAAGTTTAGAAGGAACTTCCGTGTTACGGCAACTAATTGAAAGCTAGCTCTCTCTGAGACAGACGAAGAGAAGGAACAAGCACGCGAGAAAATATGCGCGCGCGTGTGGTGGGAGTAAGGAATCTGCAAAAAGCGTGGCCCCGTGCGTGAATTGGTGTCTCCGGAGAGCCGAAAGCTAGCCTGTTCGCGGCGCCTGG